GGGGGGGGGGGGAATGGTTCTTATCAAAGACGAGAGCACCCTCGAGTTTCCTGCCTCAGCCTGTAGGAGCTGCTTGTGCAGCGCTCGGGCAGTGACTCGCGTTTGCTGCCTGTGGCCGCCGGGAGCCGGCAGCTGCTGCTCCCCAGATTAACACGGGGAGCAGAGACTGTGCCACGTCCCCTGCTCCAGCCCAGCACACCCTGCCTGCTGTACGGCGGTAGCTTCACCCCACGAAGACTGCCCAGTTACGGGTGTCTGGGTGAAGCTCTCCTCCGACCTTCCGGAAGCTCCAAACTCACCCCCCGCAGGAGGAAAGGTTTGTAACGCAGCAGAAGCAGCCGGGTTTATGCAGCTTTCCGGACTGCAGCTGAGGCAGCAGCCATTCACAGGCAACAGCCAAGACCTGCCTGAATTTCTGAAGTTTGACAAAGGATGCAATTTGTTAGTAAAACTGCTTTGGACTTTCTCACTGATCCCTGGAAGATAACGCAGCACACTTTCCCTTTTGAGCCCAGCCTGCTTCGCTGGGGCAGTAACTCCATCAGTTACAACAGCCCAAGAGTGGCTGCTGTAAGGGGAAAGCACGGTCTGGTGTTGCTCCTGGATTTATGCACAAGGTCTACGCAAGAAACACGTGCAGCCGGACAGCCCGAGCACTTCCTGGGCTACCAACCTCTGCCGGGCCAACGGCCAAGGAACGGGGTAAGAACACAGCTGGCACACAACGACTCCTTCCCAGTATTTTCTCAGTGATTTGCAGCTCAGGAGCTCCAGTGTCAGAGAGAGCATCTCTGTGTTTAACAGCATCTGATGGATGTTTCTCTCATGACCGTATCTAATCCCTTTCTAAGCCTGTGTAAAACTGTGTGCTCCACAATTTAACTGAGCACAGTTTAAGAGCCACTTTTTGCCGTTGCTTTTCAGCCTGCTGAGCAGTTTTAATGCTCTCTAGCATTTTGCATTCAGGCAGCCAACGATCATTTCCTACGCAAGAACAACAGGCAGGTTTTACAACCTTTGTCCCAACTCGTATGTTTTCCTGCAGGTATATTTAACCTCAGGAGGTCAGATTCACCCAGCATTAGCCATCTAGTTCATGTTAACGACAGAAGTCAGTAGAAAGCGACAGCTGCCAGGTTAGCAGGATGAACCATCTCTGGAGATGCCAATCTCAGGACAGACGAGCTGTCCTTACAGCCTTCACCTCACTCCCCTGACTAGAGTCTGAATCATCCTTTCTGACTAGATGCTTACAACTGGGGCAGAAAACCTGGCAAGGCAAAGCCCGCTCTGCTCTTCAATACTCAGCAGACCCCACTTTGCCCATCTTACCCACACCGGCTCTTTTGGAGGACACAATCCCGACACACATGTTGTCCTTGAACACGGAAGCAGCCGAGCTCGAAGGCTGAGCGACTCTGTAGTGGTGCTGAAGGTATCGCTGGATTTCAGCCAGCGGCCTCTGGGGTATCATGTGCACTTTGTACTGGCTGAAGACAGAAGGGATGTAGCTGTGCTCCCTCTCGCAGTTGCACAGGATGACGAGGCGATAGGTGCTGTTGTAGTGCTGCAGGTGCTGGAACAGCTCCTCTGCTCTGCAGCTGACTTCGTAACTCAGCTCGTCTGCGTACAACATGGTGTAGATCTTCTCTCCTCCGCTGCAGGGAATGAGGCACCTCCTAAGGAAGAGCCCCACTTGCTCAGCAGTGGTCTGAGGAGTGCACAGGAGAACTTCATCAAAAGTGGGAAGGGGCTGGTTGGGGCTGTTCATGTAGAGAGCCAGAGCAGACGTCAGCACCTCGGAGCGAGGGCAGGTGATGAGGTTGGGCTGACCAACGGACAGAAGGTCCCGCGGGAAGGCGCGTGCGACCCGTGTGCTCTCTCTGGCCAGGTTCTTCAGCCACCCGCCGAGCGTGTCGATATCCAGGCAGCTGGGGAGGAAGGAGCCCATGTCACACATGTAGCACTCCCAGATGCACTCCAGCTGCACAGTCAGGTCCTTCTCTCCCTCCAGCATCCCTTGCAAGTCAGAAACGGCCTTCCCTGAGGTGGGAGGCACCTCGCTCCCGGAGGCTCGGAGGACATCCTCCTGGCTGCAGTTGGGTTTGAGGAACGAAAGCATCATCAGGGCATCCTGGCTGGGCGTCCCCTGCCCCAGCTCTGTGCACAGGTAGACCAGCTGCTCCGCAGTGTAGTAGTTCAGGTAGAAATGCTGGAATCGTTTTTCATACATGAAGCTTTTCCAACTCTCCAGGAAACTCTCCATGGTCTTGCAGAGGCCTGGGAGTACAGCTGCCCTGTCTCCCTGCCCTTCGAGCACCGGGATCAGCCCCAAAGAGAAGTCTATAAGAACACACGATTCTTTTTTGGGTGAGCAATACACGTGGGCAAGCCAGGAGCGGAAGAGCATGTTCCCAGCTGAATAAAGGTCTATAAAGGCCTGTGCAAGTCTTTGGACATTGGAAAAGATCTGTGTGAGGATAGAAAAAAAAACCACCAACTAAGCTGTTTTACCAAGACAAGTCCCAGTCACGAAACCACAGGGAAGAGTTTCAATGAAAATAAAGGCTTTGGTCCCAGGCCAGGTGTGTCAGGCCTCGTGCAGGAGCAAAAGAGTCTGTGGCTTTTTAACAGCAGTATCCCCAGGAAGGAATCCCCAGCTTGCTACAAAAGCACAAGCACCCTCCCAGCCAGGAGCATGCCCAGTGCAGGCAGAGGGCGAGGGTCCCAGTCCACTGTCCAGCCTCCAGCTTAGTTCCACCTCAACGGGGGCCCAAGGAGGGGGGACATCGATTTGCCTGCTACCACTCACCCCCCTCAGCACAGCTGAAAACCAGTCCCAAAAGCTGATATTTAAGGCAAAAATCCAACCCCAGCCTCAACCCACTGGCTTAGAAATCTGACCTCAGAGAACTTCTCCACCTCCAAGCCTTGCTCCCCCTTCGTTGACATGAGCATCAGTTTGTTCTGCAGCTCGCGGAGCTCTGCCAGAGAGTATTTCCACGTTGCCTCGTTGTCCCCAGCGCTCCCCGGGAGGGTGAAGCGCAGGACATTGTCCAAAGAAACCTGCCAGGGAACAAGTCGTTAGCGCTGACGGGCACTGAGGCTGCACCCGAGGCAGGGCTGCGCCCAGCAAGGGGCAGCAGCCCCCAGCAAGGGGCCGGGCAGAGCGGGAGGAAAGCTGCAGCACGTTGCTGACGGGCAGCGCGCTCTGCGGGAGCGGGGGGGCCAAGCAGCCACACCTTCTGCCCATCAGCAGGGGCTCGGAGAACGTATATTCCTCTGCTGTTGATGGCAGCTGCCAGCGAGAGTGACGACAGCTCCACAGAGCCGTGGCTCTCCTTCACCGTTTTCAACCACTCCAAGTGCTGAGCTGAAGCACGCTGCGGGAGGAGAAGACACGGCGCTGCCCTAATCGCTCTGACCTGGCCCTGCTCTCCAGGATTACACCCGTGGTCAGGACAAACAGCTGGCGCTGGCGTAAGGGTTTCAGGATGGGGAGGGAAGAAAGGAACGACCACTGGCCACAGCCTGATCTTTCTGCACCATGGGAGGCTGAACAAACAGAGCCCACGGTGCTCCAATGCCTCCCGCTACAGAAACACACCCCTGCTGCAGGGAATAAGACAGATCTGCCTTCCCTCTGCTGCATCCTCCAAGCTCTTGCAAGAGGAGAGCTACACCACGTCACACTTGAAAGCCTCAGCATCGCTCCGGAGAAATCTGTGCTGTACCAGTTACAGCTGCTGGTTTTGTGCCACAGAAACATAAGGTATTTCTCTTCCAATAATAAGAGCTGCTGTGATGGCCCCACACACGTGCAGCTTGCCCTGCGCAGTCAACCTTCCAGCCCCTCTTGGAAGGCAGAAACGCAAGAGGATGCAGAGAGGACCTGCTCCGGCAGAACTCACCAGTTTCTTGGGAAGATTCTCGTCACTGTCCAGGGCTCGCCACAGCTTCTTCAAGCAGCACATGAAGTCCTCAAACCCCGACTCTTGCCTAAGCTCATAGAGCAGGGAGGAGTAGCCATGCACAGTGTCATGGAAACACGCCACACGGTCCACATCCATGTCATTCTCCCCAGCAGAGATGGACGCCAAGTCTACAAATACCTTCAGCTCATTTATATCTTAAATGAGATAAAACACATCAATGAATCCCCAGTGAGGCAGCTCCATACGATTCCCCATCACCACCTTCTACAGAAAATGCAGAAAGAATGCCTTGGAAGGGTTTCTCCTGTGCAGCTTCCCTCCGCCCCCCCTGCCAGCAGCTCCACCAGGCGGCTCATCCGCCCTGGTGATATCCTTGGCCCCAGCTTTTCTCCGCACGCCACAAAGAGCCATTCGCAGCCGGGAGGGACGCACAGGCCGTGTCCCCACGCGCGTACAACTGAGCTGGCGGCCACACAGCTAACCCCGCTGCTGTCCTGGTGAGGGACAGCCTCTGTTCTCTTCAGTGACCAGGCTGAGCCGAACGGCAGCCGCTACCCCAGGGCTCCAGCCCCAGCCCAGCGCTCGCAGCACGTGCCACCCCAGACCCTCGGAACTGCCAACCCCAGAAGCTGTGAAGGCAAAAAGCGTCAGGGACAGGGCCTCGCTCCTGCCCCCGCCAGACTGCCGCCCCCTCCAGTCCTATCGGCCAAACTCCGGAGCAGCACACACCTTTCAGGGCTTCCCGGACCCAGCAGACAAACTCCTTCTGCTGGACCAGCTCCCTCAGACACCCACGACGGGTCACAGTGATCCCCTGCAGCAGTCTCTTGGCGTTCATAAGCTCGGGGCTGATGAAATCCAGCTTGTGTGTCTTGTAGGATTCAAGCTTTTCAGTCTACAAAGCAAGCGGGGCAAACATTCAGTCTGGAAATGGGAACCACCACCCGTTCTCTGGCGGGGAAAGGAATCACCCTGAAGCCACAACCCAAACAGAGGAATGGCACCTTCTTTCTCTCTTTTAAGAAAGGTTACACCAAAGCACTTTGTTTGAAAAACTTAGTTTTTATCTCAGATAAGCAATTTGGGACAGGAAACGGCTCTTGACAGACTGAGCTAGACTTGCAGGAAGGCTCAGGCTTACCCAAGCTTCCCAGCCAACACCCTGACAGTACAGAGCTCAAGTAGTGTGTACTTACTATGTCCAACAAGTTTTCCAGGATACTGAAGTCACCAGAGAGGTTTAAACTCTCTTTGACACTAGCAATAATCCTTGCGGCGTCAAAAGTTAAATGCATTTCATGGTACTGCTGGATCTGCTGAAATCGCTGATCAATCCAGCCTCTGTCTTCCCCAGGTCTCAGCTCACATATGGTATGTAGCTCAGCTTTGATATCTTCAGGATGATTTGTGAATTCCTGAAAAACTCTATCAACTTCAGAAAGCGTGAGACGTCCAGATCTGAGATCATTGTACAGCGTTTCATAGCTCACAAAACAAGGGTAGATTAGACTTCTGAAAACATCATCAAGGTCCAATGCAGGAACAATGTTCTCCTCCTCCTCCTCCTCCTCCTCCTCCTCCGACCTCTCATACTCCTCTCTCGCCTTCTGCGCCGCTTCCTCCCAGAACTGCTGGAAGATCAGGCTGTCCTTGAAAGACTGCATTTTCTGGGCAAACTCTTTCACTTCTGGGCTCAAGCTGTAGTAGGTCTGCAGGGGTCTGTTTCCCACGTTCACAACTGTATTTAGTCTTTTTGAGCGCAGATCTTCCGCGTGTTGAAATTCCAGTTCACCTACATACACTTTAAGACAGAGAGACAGGTCAGAGACAGACCAGATGTCTGGCCTGTGTGCAGCTTCCTTCATCTACCTCGCCAAGCTGCAAAATGCTCCTGCACACGCGGACCCCTACAAATATCACCTGACGCCCAAGCACTCACACGATCCCGCAAATGCTCCAGGTTTACTTCCTCCACCCCTCCTCATCCTTGCTGTGGTTTATAATAAAACCTGTTTACAAAACTTAGTTGTTTTCAAAGAAAATTATGTTTTCTGGAGCTGCCGCTTTCAAATTGCTCCCCCTGAACGTTACCTTTCACAGATGCCTGCACCTTCCTGCACATGCTCAGGAAGGTTCCTATTGCTTTTTTCTCTTTTCTGAGAAGTGTCACTTCTTCTCGCCTCCTCTGCAGCAATTCTTTCAGTTGTCTCTGGAGTAGTTCTTTGTGTTCATTTAACAGCTGCTGGCGCTCTGAAAGAAAACTCATCTGTAGTCAGAAGGCAGATACTTCCCCCCCCCTGCACCCGTTAACTCAGGTTTGGACTTGCAGAGTCACAGACAACACAAACGGGGGTGGGAGCTCCGGATACAGGACAGGGACAAGGGCAGCGCTGCTAACTGCTGCAGCACCTCATCAGCACCACTAACCAGCATTGCTCATCAACATTACTAACCACTGAGGCAGCTTAACAGAGTCAGCCGCGATTACTACAAGGATGCCAACACCACCACCCCTGCGTGATGCTCTTACTTATCTCCCAGATACAGATGAACTGTTTCTCATGCTGGAAAATCTCTTCCAGATGTTTCACAAGGATACATCCTTTCTGGATGTCGTCGGTGACACTCGTAATCACAGAGTCTGCTGTGGCCATGGCATTCTTTGCTTCATCTGTAAGTTTTTCTAGGAGCTCTGTGTTTGTTCCTGTTCCAGACACAAAGTGAATAAAACCTACATCAGCCCCGCTTCACAAAAACTAGGCAGCATCAATAACTATCCAACGTCATGATACAGAGCCCTTCCATCTCCCACTCGAATCCCTACCCAAAGGCCTGTGAACTCATGACGCCACCCCTCCCACCTCTCATGTTTTTCTGAACAGAAACAGCCAGGATCTCAGGAGAGCAATTCAGAAACCTTCCCATGGAGAGCCCAGACCCAGACCCATGGAGGAATCACAAGCCATTTTGATCCATTCACGTGAGCAACGCTTTGCATTTTTGCGTAGCAATAACTTATTAGAACTTCTCAGAGAAATAAGTTATATTCTACAAATCCATTCCGTCTCCAGATTCAGCAGTCCAGGACAAATCCTGAAGCAGCTGCAGTGGATTAGCACAAGAGGAACACTAGCTCCCTCTTCCTTAGCTTCTCCTCTCCAAAACCAGGCTGAACACCTTGAGTTTTGAGAATAAAACACAAGCAGGACAATTTTCATATATTTGTTTGGGGCTCTGCAAAGCGGGAGTGACGAGGAGAGAACAGCTTTTCACAGACTCCTACAACAGACATACCATTAAAGCTGAAGGCGTGTTTGATGTCAGGCCACGTAAGCACATGGTGCAAAATCTCATCAAAATCGTCCTCAGACTGCCCACTCTTGACTGGCCACGACTTCACAATAATAGTGGATACAAGCTGGCTGAATCGGCCCATGCTGTAGGAGGAGATCTTCTCCAGGAGGTTGTTCTGAGTCTGCACGAGGCACACGAAGCAGAGGGGAGGGATGGATCAGCGCTCGGGGTCACACTGCGTCCGCCTTTGCCTCGGGACCAGGCACTGGTGTCAGCAGTCTGCCCCCCTCCGGGGCTGAGGCACAATCCAAATGGGCCGTGGGACATCACCGACCCCAGAAGCCATGATGGCAAAAGCATTACAAGTATTTTTCATGGACCCTCTATAAGTGGATCCACATTTCCTGATTTCTTGTCAATAGATTTTTTTGTTGCTGCTTTAACAAACTCAAACAATCCACAGCACCTCAAGCAGTGAGAGACTGAATGTGCAACTCTCCTTCCACCACAGTGCACATCCCTACACTGTGCAACAGGGAATCTGACTTTTCCTTTTCCTACCTTGAGGGAAAATACAATACCTGGCAAGCTGCAGTTACAGCCTCTGTGGCACAGTTATGGAAACACCCCTCGATGGAAGAGTCAAGCTGTGTAAATTGGGAGTGCTGACAGCAGTAGACTAAGATTTGGTTAACTGGAGGCTCCTGTAGGGCAGAAGGGAGATTTCTTAGCAGCTTAAAGTTTCCAAAGTGTTTCTTCTGAAAGCATGAAACAGTGCTGTTATTAAGACAGTAAAAGGAACGAAGTCAAAAAATTTAAGTTTCCTAGTGGAGCCAAGCAACAGCCCGTTTATCAGGGCCTGGAAGAGAGATGAAACACAAATAAATGCTTGGAAAATCTTTTAGGTTGTTTCCATCTAAGACGTGTTATTACTTAAATGCATCTCTCCAAGCCAAGCTTCCACCAGGAAATACTTGTTTCCTAATTACACCATGAAAATCAGCGGCTTAGACAATTTTGTAAGTGATGCAGAAAGGAGATGAGGAGGTATACAAGCTCAAGTCAGAGGGGACCCACACGATCGGGCGTGTGTTTGGGAGCCCGGACGACCCAATTTCTGCACAACGGATGAAAAGAGAAAAGCGCCAACTTTGCTTCTGTAAGTCCTCGGGCACTTACTTTACACCCACTGTTTCTTAAGAAACTACAGGAGGGGTAATTGCTTGCAAAGTGCAATTTTCTTTAAAGCACCAGGGGAGGGGTCGCTGCGTGACACAGAGCGGGGCCGGCAGGCTGCTGCAGCCCGACGCCCACCCCACCCCGTGGTCCATATTTTCACATCCAATTTTTGAGCCTTCAGAACATGGTTTAGAACAGCCAGTGGCAATTTTTATGACCGAAGGCAGAGTGTTTCCACGTGCCCATTCAGGCACTAGAAGCTGTTCTCCAAGCACAGCAGATGTCCACCCGCTCTGAACCTGGCAGTGAGTGCCTGCAGGCCACCCTACCTCCTGGATTCTCCTCTCCAGGTCTGCAAGTAAAGTCATCTTCCACCTCTTGGTGAACTGTTCATCTGGAAAGCTGATCTTCACAAATTCATTCCAGGCCTGCAGGCAAAAAGCAAACAAACCCCAAACACTCAGTGCTGAGATTTAACATTCAAATATGGAAATCAGAAGCACTACGCTGAGGAGAGGCCCCACACTCCTCAGCCAGCCTGCAGGCCTTTCAGATGTTTCCATCCAGAAGAAAAAAAGAACACTCCCAGAGCTGCAAAAGGCAGCTTTTGAGCCCAAACAGTATCAAAATGTCCCATCTGCTGAAGGAGACATTTGGATGAGCCACTTCCACCTTGGTGCTGGAGCCTGTCCCAGGGAGGGCTGGATGCGGGGCCGGGCTCTCGGGAGATGCTCTGCGCTTGGCTGCGGGAGGGCCCGAAGGACACAGCCTGAGCAAGACTAAGCTCCAGCTAAACACCCTCATCCCAGCAGCGACTCTTGCAACAGGAGAAATAAGGTGAGCCGAGAGCACCAAATAGAGCCCTTTTCAGCCCAACAATGCTTAAAACAATACAGCTTCTGAGCCTGGAGTCTGTGCTGTCTGTCCCCATCTCACCCCTTACCCAGCCACAGCAGCTACAGTTCCCAGCAAAGAGCCATTAGACTCAAGACTATATGGTTAAGCTACGGTAAAACACCTTTTAATTCATATTATTAGAAGATGACAAACCCGAAGTTCCCAATAGAAAGAGAATGTCACATGCTCCAGATATTCTTTCAACAACTTCTCGTTTAAAGCATTTCTGAACCAGGTTCGAGTGTCTCTCAGAGCTTCAGTGAATGCTTCTACCACTGCAACTCCCTGCACAGCATCTCAAAAAAAAAAAAAAAAAAAAAAAAAAGAATAGCTCAAGCAGAGCAACGTACAACTGTTTTAAATAAATATTTCTAAAAGAGAAGGCCTAAACGCATCCAAAGCACAAACACGCCCCGCAACAAAGATCCACCACTAGTTGAATAAAGGATGGGGGGAGGCTGGGAAAATGCAATGCTTACAAATGGTTTGTGCCTAAGAATTCTTATTCCAGGAAGTAAAGACAATATATTTTAAGGGGGGGTAAAAGACAGACATAAACCAAAACCCATGACAGCCAGCCTAGGCATCTGACCTTACTTTCAGTAAGGAGAATCAAAGTTATTAAATGGTTTCACAATTTTTTCAAACTACCACAATCTTGATCAGACTATTAAGTTTTCCAAATTGAGAGCAGGTATGATCTAAACCCATTTCTGTAATACTTTTAGATATCTTGCTTGTACCACCCCACGACTGGCTCCAGGGTACTCACTGCTGTGGGCTGAAGCGTGGCAAGCTTCGAGATCATCGTGGCAGAAGTGACAGGAATCACGAAGAAACATCCCCGCTTCAGGCATTTACAGATCATCTTGTGCAGCTTGAGGCAACAGGTAAAGCAGGATTCCCAAGAGCGAGCTTCCAGAGCTCTGAAGGACAGCAAAAAAAAGGAAGAAGTTCCCTTCTGCTCAAAGTGGGGGAAAAAATAATTTTAAAAAACACCCCACCAAACTCTATATAGTGTGTCAACTAACCATCCCTCCCTCAGATGGATTTCAAAAAGTGTTGCTGACAGAGGAACAGAAATACAAGATTCTTTTATTCATAGAGATTTCCATGCACATTTTCAAGCTATAAGCACAACCCCACCCCACAAGCACGGTGTAAATAAAAAGGATGATGCTCTCGCAGAAGTGCACCTCGGTTACCTGGCCTGTTCCTTATCCAGGGTACACAGCAGCGTCTTTAGAAGACTCTCTACTACCTAAGAATGAAAAGACAGAAATATTAAACTGGAAGGAATTTTAGGGACTGGTTTCTCATTAGTTGAGGGGATGCTGTGGAAGAGGGAATTCAGTATTCTGCCATGCCTTCTCCAACACTTTCATTAATACGCGATAAAACTGCCAAAATCATTGACTGGCTGTCAGAGTCAGCATATATGGGGCTATTATTTGACCAAACAAAACCTGCACTTCTTAAAATCTAGGGGGTTCACATTTATTAACATTAGTAGCAGCATCCAGTTCCTGCTGTGCTCCCACAAACACAAATGTTTTCACAACAGGCAGGAAGATCTCTCAAACCAGCAGCCCCTTGCCCAAATATCCAAGACCTGGGTGAAAAAATAGTTGCAGGCAGCCATCCGAGGCTTCCGGGATTAAAGCACTTGCTGTCAGTGACTAAGAGCAAATCCAGATGAGCAGACTCTTCTCTCATCAATGCCAACAACGCTTTTTGCTACAGATACACCCCCTCATCTCCTCTTAGGAGTCTCCTACTTCAGAAGTCTATTTTTGCTCTTAGCTAAATTTTAAGCTCTTTGTGCTCTGACCTGCTTCCAAGCACATTCCCTTCAGTGCCAGTTCTGCTGGAGGCACACTACGGCCCAGATTCAGCCTTTATCCCTTAGCTGGGTAAAGCTGCCAGAAGACAAACCTTAGACCCATTCCACAAACGGTCCATGTTCTCTAATCTGTAAGAAACACCTTGAAGAGTAACTAATAAATCACTGGAGAAGTCTTCTATAAATTCAGGCAGGCTCTCCAGGGGCAGCACACAGATCCAGGACTTGACCAGAGTCTTATCCAATTCCATCAAGTATTTCTTTTCTTTCATTAGTTGCAGTAGAGTCTTCCTGGAGAGAAGGCAAAACGAAATCTTCAAGTTTGCAAGGTACAAAAGGCTAAGAGCTTGTTCAGTCCATGGAGGACTCTTAGCTTCACTCCTGTGCTTTTTTCATTTACAGCTGAAGATCAGGAGAAGACCCCAAGACCCAGCGATCGCAGAAGCGGTGTCAAACTGCCAAGCAGCTGCACTCAAGGAAATTAAACTCCAGGTCTTGCTCAGATTCTGCACAACACGTATCATGAGCTGCTTTAACTCGCGCCAGGCATCACCAACTGTGCGAGCTGCTCCACAGCTCGCGGGATTAAGGGTTGTTTGGGTCTGGAAGGTAACATACTGCACAGCTTTGCACCAGAACCTCTGAGCAGCCACCACACCTGCCTTCATATAGCCCAAATAACCACCATTAGTGTGCCACATCTCTCATTTTTCAGATACTTTATCTCTTTTTTTTTCCCTTTGTAAGGTGATCACCAAACCCCAGTGTCAAGGCACTGGATGTAACGAGTAACTCTGGGAAACTCACGTAACTTGCTTCTTCCTTGCCTCAGCAAATGGGAGCCCTTCCAGCCCCGCCCAGACATCTTCTTCCATGGGCGAGTGGTCATGCTGCAACGGGGCAGCGAAGAAATGCAGAAGGGGAATAACCCAGACCCACTGGTCTACTTGGGCATCAATGCATCTCTGGCACAAGTTTGTCAGATGAACCTTCAAACTAGGAAAACAAAACAAACACACACGGTAAAAGAAGAGCTTTTGACAGGACTCAAGAATGTCCCTGGAGGGGGGAGAGCTGCATCTCAATCTCACGATGTACCTTCAAATTACTTCTGGTAAATATTTTAGCTCAATCTCATCTTCACTGAAGAGTATATACGGTAAAAGTTTACGACTCAAAGCTGCGATCTCACTTGAATCTCTGCACAAGCCCCTCTAACGCAGCACTAAGAAGTCCCAACACTTTATCTCCAGTTGCCACGTGAGCCCCCCAGCTGGGCCAGGGATCGGGTGACACAGAGGCAGCTCTGGGGACATTTCTCAGCCCCCCTGGTTGGGCAGGCAATTCCTTTGCTGCAGCTGTGCAAGTGAAGAACTAGAAATCCGAGTGCCAGATAAGCAGTTAGACAAGAGTCTGATAAGCAGGCACTGCGGAAAATTCAACAAAGCACGTGTAATGATGCGTGTCAGAGGAGAAGATCAATCCAAACACGCATTTAAATGAAGAAACACGCGACGATCCCAATCACTGGAGTTTGCAAGTATGAGCAGCAAACAGGTAAGAAGCTAGAAACTGCCTGACATAAATGGGTAACAAGTAAGATGTTTATATAGAAAGAAAAAAACAGTAGTTTTAACTCAATCTACTACTGTGGCATGTAATGGCAAGTTGCAATAAGGGTAATCCTGTTTGGACAAAAGGAAAATATTTTTCACATCAAGATAAGTATGTGACTAAGGCGGCCCCAAAGAGGTTGTGCAACCCCGGAGTTTTTCAGAACTGCAACCTTGCCTGGACCTTAGCCCTGCTTTGAGCAGGAGGTTGGAACAGAGGCATCCAAAAATCCCTTCAAATTTGATTTTTTTTCTGACACTAGAGAGCTGAATTCCCTTATTGTTTTATCACAGGGTGCTACGCTTGCAGTAAAAGCAGCCCAGGGAGTTACCTCCTAGGGGTTCTAGTAACATACATACCTAGCAACTGCTGCAAAAACCTTCTTGATATGACCAATCTCATCCCGTATGGCTTGCTGCGACACCTTATCCAAGCACAAGAGGCTACACAGGGCAGCCAAATCACTTTTAAATGCTGGAAGCTCCAACTTTTCAACTACTGTGAGGATGGTGAGGCCCAGAGTCAGTTTACTTTTTATGACTGTGTCCCCCTGCGATGCTTTCGCATCTTCTGGCGCGAGGAAAGGAAGAGTGATTTTCTTCATATACATTAGCAACAGATCATTCACCTAGGATAAAAAGGGAAGAAACAAACCAGCCCCAGCATTAGTTCCCCAGCAAGTCTTTCTCTCCTGAAGCCGTTTTCCCCTGCGGGTTACAGCGAGGACGCTCCGTAGCCCTGCACAGCCCACGGCCCCGCGGTGCTCCAGGATCCAGGCACACGCTCCTGGGCACCACCAGAACACGAGGCGCTGCACCCCGGCACCTCTCCGTCCCCCCAGCTGCCATCACTCAGCTCCCAGTGCCCCCTCCCAGCCCAGCAGCGCTGGGGACAGGGCAGAGCAGCGGGCGAGCTGAGCAGTCGCCACCCAGCGCTGCCTCACGGCACCATCGCACGCCGCGAGCGGACTCCGGCTTCCCAGAGGACCCAGGCCTGGCTGGGAGTCAGCAAAGGGAGAGATGCTTCTGTCCTTACCCCCAGCGCCCAGAAGCTACGCTGAAACCACGTCCGGGGGTCCAGAGCGCCGTGGTGCTCCGCAACAGCAGCGCACCCTGCCGAGGGGCGCAGAGCCCGGGCCGCGCTGAGCTGCCCGGGGCTGCCATCTGGTGGCCTCCCCCGCGGCACCAGGCCGGGCAGAGCCAAACCAGCAGCCTGACACCCGTCCGAAGTCCCAAAAGAGACACTGTGACGTTTCTGCCATTTTTCATAATTAGGCCAGGTAATAAATTTAGGACTCCAGAAGCCCTGTCCGCATCGCCGCTTAGAACCAGCCCCGGAGGAGGCTGCCTCAAGGCAGGGTTGGAGTCAAAGCCGAGCCCAGGTAAGGTGGGCAGCGAAACTAAAGGGCCAGGCTTCTGAAATGGATATCCAGACACAAAACCCACTCAAGTAAGAAGCCACCACATCACAGCCCTGCTGCTGACCAACACGGGCTGCTCAGAACTGCACCCAACTGCGAAGGCGTGACCCGAGTTCCCAAGGCAGACGGTGGCCGCCACCCCAAAAGGATCCCCGCCGGGTCTGTCACACCTCAATTTTTTGACTGGAAAAGCAAAGTTAACCCAACAAGGTCAACAGCAAAGTTAAAAGTTCTGTGTTTAGTAACTGAATGTCTGACTTCTAATACCTGTTACAAGAAAACAGATTACCTGCTGTGAGCCAAAGTCTAACTCTGTCCATGGCATCTCCCTGCCATCGTGTACCCACGGGTTTGCTGTAACAAAGTAAAACTGTCTCAGCTGGAAGAAGAAGTTTCTCAGGTTGTCGCCACTCCAGGTTCCAAGAATGCTGAAGATATTTTCTAACATAATATTTGCAGCTATTTTCTTCCCTTCCACCACGTCTTTGTTTTTATCACGAGAAATCGTCTTCCAAATGTTCTTCATTAGAGAAGGCTTTGCACACACAATATCATCATACTGATGCCATTCTAGAACAAACAACAGAAAACAGAGGAAAACAATCCTTTGAGAAACAAACACACATTTTGCACATGCCTTCACTCTTTCAGCTGTCCACAGAAACACCCCCCGACCCATCCAGACAGTGCTAATCATAATGCCAGTCCACACAAAGCTTCTAACTCAACAGAACTCCACCAAAAAAACACCCCATGGATCATCCCAGTATGCAGACCCAGCCAGGAAAGCTCACCTCTGTTGTTGAGGAGGTTGCCTCTTATCAATAAGCAGCGGTTCACGTAATTATTTGAACTCTTGTAGATAAATTCATACTCCCCTTCGCCACAGGCAACCCAGTACTTGTAAGGAATGTGCTTATCAATATTTTCCTTTGCAAGAGTTACAGTGCCTTCAATGAGGTATCCGTGTTCTTCTAGACGCCTAGGAAACACAAGACAGCAAAGGACACGTCAGCTCATCTATATACTTCCTTTTCCATGCATCACTCCAGTTTTAATAAGAACAGGGACCATTCTTTCACGGTGAGAGTTTTTGAACTGTTATCTCCACTGTGAAAACCCTCTGCAGCAACACCCACCTATGAGCACAGAGCTACAGCCTGACGTATTAAATGAAATTCTCCAGAGCCAAAACGCTCTGGTGCCTCCGTGCGACTCGGGAGGGTACGTACTTGGTGCAGATCAGCTCACAAACGTTGTCCTTCCAGTTTGCGTAGGGATAAACTCCTTCAGCCCTGATGAATACTTTATGGGTCTCAGGGTTTATTTTGAAGTCTTTGGATAATATCGCATGGAAATACACTGTAACACCATCACTCTGGCACACAAAACTACAAGAAAGAAGGAAAACAGAAAGCATTCTTTTTTTTTAAACACTCTTTTTTTTTTTCCCAAATTGCACAAATCGTTATAAACAACAAAAAAAGATTTGAGCCACCAGCTTACTGGGTGCAAGACCCATAAGCTCTGTCAGCAGTTCACTCGACCTGACGCTGCGCAGCCGGCCTAGTGCAAAGCCCAGAGCAAAAAGGGAAGGTGGGTTCCTACAGGCAGCACGGAACGCTCCAGCCACGAGCATCCGGGTCACTGCACGGGTAAGGCAACGGAGACACCTCACCCAGCAGTCACCTGAGATGGCTTTATCCCTCTTCCAGCTCACATACATTAGGCAAAACAAGTCATACTAATCAAAACAGCTCTCCACACCATTAATCTGAAGAGTTACATGTGTGAGGCACAGGTTGCTCCTTAGAGTAAGAAATAAAAGGCCACCTTTTTATTCATCAGATACGCAAAAAGGTTCAAGTACCGAGTGTACCACATCACCCAGTACACGGCTGTGCTGCAGCTCCCAGTTAAACACTGGCTCTCTTTTGCAAGAGCAGCAGTTTACCTCACTTTGAAGGCAATCCTACTTCCACGTATCCAAGACACATGCAGCCTGAACCTCAGTAGTTCGATCCCCTGGCTCAGTCTGGAGCCCTCCCAGCAAACCCCGTAAGTGAAGAATGCCGGGGAGCAGCAGGGTGGGTCTCACCTTTCTTTAATCTTATCCACAGGTTTCTGGTTCGTTTGCTGCTTTTTATCCTTGCGACCACTGGTCACAGCTGAAGCATCATCCTTTCTAGCAGGCTGAGATCCTTTGGTCTGACTTCCCTTCTCAGTCGCTTCCTGCGTTTTCTCACTCGGGGTCTTCTTTTTCTGTTTGGCCTCTTCATTCTGCAGTAGGAAGAAGGACAATGCCCCGTGAAACAGGAGACCCTGGAAGTACAACATCCGCAGAAATATCCACCACCTCTTTGGAGGGGTGGGGGTGCCCAGAAAGCACAGCACACCAGCCGGCTTCTGACTTCTTGGAAACACTGATCCCTCGCCGAGGGAGCTACCGGCTAAGGAACAGTGCCCGGCTGTGCGAGGAATCCAACACTGGCAAGAAGTCACAGACCCCCAGAGGATGGGCCGTGAGGAAAACGAAAGACAACCAAGAGTGACTTAGAGCTTTACAGGCCTGTCTGAGCGGAGCACAGACACCTACAAAGGATGAAGATCTCACAGGGGAGATCCCACAGAGCTCACTGGGGAAGGGATGAGTTCACAGCTCCCAGAGGCAAATGAGCAACCACACAGTGGTTGTGCTGGAATTAACACACACAGGGGAGAGCAATACTCAGAAAAGAAACACTTCATCGTGCTCCCTGCTGTCTTCTTGCCTCCCCAGCCTTGTGGTCTTCAGCTTTACCAACAGCACAAACGACTCACAAAGGGAAACTTGGCCCAGCTCATCCAAGTACTCACCGGTGCTCCCTCACGTGCTTACCCTGGGAGTCGAAGAGCTCGCTTGCTGCCCCGTGTCCTGTTTAACCCTCCCAGCCTGCGAGCTCTTGACCACAGGCGGAGTCTTCATGTCCTGACTTCCATGCTCAGCACAAGGAGCTGCAGCCTTACTTTTAGGCACTCCCGTATCAGGAGACAACCCAGAGGCAACGCTCGTTTTCTCCCCTGTTGAGGCCGGTTTCTTATGGCTCCCCGAGGACTGGGAAGCTGGTTTGGTTTCTGGAAGCTGGCCAGTGTCAGGAGCACAGCCGTTCCCTTCCACATTACTCCTGCCCGTTTCTCCACACTCTGTAGTACTTCTACCCTCCACCTTCTCCTCTGGGGCTGCAGAGCTCGGAGCCGGGGCAGCCCCACTGTCCGTGCTGCTCTGCTTCGGGGGGGCCATCACACGGACGCTGCTGCGACTGCCTTCTGCCACCGCTTCCCGGCTCCCAGCTTCCTTTCCCGAGCGCCCCAGCGCCCCATCGCTCTCACGGGCGCCTCTGCCGTCACCAGCAAGTACATCAGCACCTGGTTCCGCGGCTTCACTGCCCAGGGTTTGGATTTCCTGTGGAGAAACACGTGTATCGGGCGATTCTGTGCTGTGAGCTGGTGCTGTGCTTGAAGGAGGCAGGGAGCCCTGCTCCCCAGAGCTGGAAGGACCCGCCTTTGCCTTATTCCTCTTCTTTTTCTATATAAACAAAAAAAAAGAAGGAACAACACAAAGTTTAATCATTGTTAAAAAGAAATTGTCACCTCCTCCAGCGCAGATAGTACCAACACCTTCCCGCACACCGGGTTAATGGAGAACAACCAGGAAGAGAAAGGACCAGCCACCATCCTTTATAGCAGGGGAAACGCAAGTAACTCTTGAGAATTCTCCAGTTTTAATATTCGAGACTTTCTCAGCAGGAACACAGAGCAGTGCTGACATGATGCTCACTCACAGGGCAGACACGGTACTAAGCTGAACTCTGTTCCACCGCCCTCAGTGCAGCAAAGGTGCCGTCAGCAGGAGCTGCACCGCTCGGCACATCACCAGGCCACACACACACGCTTCACGTCAGCAAATGCATCCACACGCTGCCTAGGAACCCCGGCAGCAGCTCCCGGGTGCAGGCCAAAGGGATTCGTGGTGACGCAGCCCAGCCTCATCGCTTCACAAAAGAGAGCGCAACAAATTACCAGCTACCCCTGCTCCTCCGCACCGACAAAGAGCCTTACCCTCTTCCGTGACTTCTCAGAAGAATCACCCGCCGTGCTCTGAGGCGCAGGCTCCGAGGTGTCACTTGGAACTGCGACACCCTCGAGCAGCGATGCTCCCTCTGCCTCCACCTGTGTTTCAGCAGAGGCCGGAGGCCCACCTGCTGTGTGTCCAGGTGTGGCCTCTGAGGTGCTGATCAGAGCTTTTGCCTCCTCCATTGTGTCAGTGGTGGAGGAAGGGCCCTCAGCACCTTCTCCCTCCAGCTCTCCTCCAGGCTCTGCTCTCCTCTCAGGGACTGGAGCCAGCTTCCCCTCTCTTCTCTCTGCAACAGAGACAAGGCTCTTGTTAAACTTGAGAGTCAGGAACCAGCATTCCTCAGCTGGGGGTGAGCGAGCAGAGTCTGCCCCTGACTAAATGTATCAGCTGAACACACAGGAGCTGCTTTGTTGTCGTTCCCTGTTCAACAGCAAGGACACCATCCTCCCCAGCACAGCCTCCGTCCCTCTCCAAGGCCCCTGCAGTCAGCAGCAGAATAATTAAGATAAGAAACGGCAGTATTGAGGTGCTGATCTGTCCCTGTCCTACTCCAGCTAACGCGCTGCTGCCCAAAGCAGCAGGTGCTGGGAACCACAACGGCCTCTCCCAGCGCTCGAGGAACCCCGAGCCGTGCGGGGACAGCGCGGGGGCACGTCTCAGCTTTCACAGCACGTGGGACCTCTGCCACGCCGCTGAGTGTTGTGGCCAGGGAGGCTCGGGACAACAACCTTTTCACCTTTAACAGGTTTATCCAGTCCTCAAAACCCATGAAGAGGCAGCCCACACCTGAATCAGAGCAGATCTCCCCCTTCTGCAGATCTCGATTTGAGAGCAAAAGCTTAAAGCTCTTTGAGTGGAGATCAACCAGCACCACGAGACATTGATTTCCTCAGGGTATTTTTGGAAAAAAAAAAAAAAAAAAAAAAAAAATCACAGTGAAGGTAGCTCACAAGTCCCCTGCCCCCTGTCCTGACCTCTCAGAGCGATTTCCTCCCCCCCCCGGGTCACATACCAACCAAGAGCGGATCGGGAAGGGCAGCAGAGCAGAGCTTAATGCACGACCTTAACATACCTGGGTCCTGCCTCCCCTACAGCCTGGGGACGGGAATGACAAGCGACCACCTCCTGGCAGCCCCCTGGGCCGTGGTACCTCAACTTCAACACCTATCACGTGCTGGGCCTGCGCAAGCGGGAAAGTATTTCATCATCTGAGTTGGGCTGAAGAGTACCTGACAAAAGTCAATTATCTCAGACCCTAGAAATAGTGACACGAAGTGAGACCCTCTGAGCTCTCCCGGCCAGCAGTGGGCTACGACCAGCATCTCCCCTGAGCTGGGAAGTCTCTGGGCACAGACTCCTCCAGGTTTTAAGACCGTCTGCCCACAAAGGGCAAAGCCAGTCTTCCCAAGGCTCAGCTATCGCCCGCTGAGCAGTGCTGATGCATTGTGAGCATTTAAACTCGAGGGAAATCTTAAGGATAGGCTGGCCTCTTCCACCCACCTCCCCACCCATCCACCTGTGTGAATATGCACATTTGCCTTCAGTGGGGATGTCTACATATTCCACAGGATCCAAAGATTTGTCCACCTGTGTGTATGTTTTGTATTTACACACATGTTACTTTGATTTAGGGTACCTTGAGGTAAATTAGCGTGAACCTTAGAATTCTCAAATCTGTAATTAAGTCGCTGTTTTCATTACAACATAACGAAATTCGTAACAAATCACCTCGTTAATCTTTTAAATTGGTCAATCATTAAGCAATCAACCTTTTGATTCACCTCGCACCGTTAATAAATCTTGAATTGCTGCTAAGTCATAGCTGTGTCAAATATTTCACGTGCAACACAGCCCAACGGCTGCACCTCGCTTAACGACAGCAGGTTGGTTTGTACCTGAAGCAGGGACCCTTCCGACATTGTTCACGTCCAATTTACTATCACGCCACTATCTGAAGAGTTTAAACTCTTCCCTGAGCTTTTCCTGTTCCTCGCTGACTCTGTTGACAGGGCTTGGCCTGCACATATTTACTTAGTGGAACTCCCTGGTCCCTCAGACAGAGCGTATCTACCTGGTGAAGCACTACCACTCCTTCCACCACCTCTAACCTTTGCCAGAAGCAGGGACAAAGCTTCTGGACCACCAAAACAGAGGCTTTGGATGCTTTTCCTGCAGCATGTAAGAGCTGGAGATCCTGGCTTTGTTCCCTTGCCATTCTTGATTGCAGAGGGGTTTGCTAAGAACTGATCTTGTCGGGACTGCAGCAGGCTGATTCTGATTTAGTGTAATCTTTTAGGATCTTTTTCATATCAACAAACCAAAAGCAATTCTGGTGGCCCAGGTCATCCTCTCTTTCAGGAAATAAAAGAATTAGGAAGTATTTCCCCCGGTGTAACTGCATTAATTGTGCTCAGAGAGACAGAATTAGTGCGTTGTGAACCAGAAATTCAGGAAGTGAATTCTGAACCTAAAAATAACCTGAAGATAGGAAATTCTGGTTCAAGAGGGATGAGACTGGTCTTTTTAATACAGCATTCCATAAAAATGGCACCAGCTCCTTGGCAAAACACAAGCAAGTTCAGCCCCGGGCAGCTGAGTGTGGAGGCGCCAGGGACTGACCCGCTTCTCGCCCCGTCGTCCCCCACCGGTCACCGCAAAGCCAGGAAAGCTCCGGCCGGGCCGGGCCGACCGGAGGGTCGAGGGGAGCCCCGCCGCCGCGCT